CACCGTGGTCTAATATGGCTTCTAAAGTTGCTCTGACGGTGAAATGCACCAATGCGACACAGGACACCGAAGCCACGATGTTGCCGCTACCTGGCCATGGTATAAATGCGACAAGATACAGCAACAAGACACACATGGAAGTCACGGCTGCGTCGGTGACGGCTCACCCTCCGCTGGCGGGACTGGCTTGGCATGCTTTGCTTCTTGGCATTATTTTCTTCTTTTACATGATTTTATTATTTTTTTTTATTTGGGGGAAAATAATCAGGGCGGTGGAGAGCACTCGAGCAATGAGTTTTGTTCGTCGCCGTCTCTGCCTCGCTGGAGAAACGTGGTCGGGATGGAGGTGCCGGCGGCGGCGAGCGGTGGGGCAGAGTGTGCAGCGGCGCGCCGCGCTCGTTTAACCATGCTGCTACTGCTATGTGGCTGCATCTCATGCACTGTTCGTGGTATATACAGCTATGTCTCCATATATTTTTAACTACACACAGCTAAGGGGGAGGTCAGGGGCAGCGCAGATGGCTTTAATATGTTGGTTATTTTTCCCGTTTTTATTAAAAAAAAAAAAAAAAATGTTTAAATTCCCAGAACCAGCCGGGTGGGACCTCTGCTCCCGGGTGAGGCCGTGGGCGATGTGGCAGGTCTGGGGGTGCGGGTGGGGGTGTGGGAGGGTGTGCATGGGGGTGTGCACATGTGGGTGTGCGCATGTGTATGTGTGCGGGCGGGCGTGCACACCTCCGCCTGCTTCCCAAGGAAAGCTGCGGGGCCGTGCCTGCTCACACAACGCCAACGGGAGGATTTTGGTGCTCTTTCCAATTCCTTCTTTTTTAACCCATTTCCACATAAGGCAAACGCCCCCCCGGTGCCCAGGCGGACTCCGAAACGAGACTGATTCAAGAGACCGAATCCTGCTGCTGCCCCCAGCCGAGGGGCATCAGCCACCCCCAGCTCCCCATTAATTAAAAGCACCCCGAGATTTCTTTTCGCTTTGGCTACACGAGCAGGGCAGGACCTCGTTTGCTGACACTGACACATCCATTAGGAAAAGGGACTAATTAAAGCTGGAGGTAGCCCTGCAGGACCACTTGCTTGATGACCTGTGAAGCCCCTGTAGCCCAGCATGGCCCCGGTACCACCTTCACCCAGCCCGGCCGAGCTGCAGCTCCAGCAGCCGTACTGGGCACTGGGGCATGGGCCAAGAA